TGATCGGACTTACACGTGTATTTTCAATATTAATTCATTTGTACGATCAAATTAAATATTAAAATTGTCGTAATATATTTTATATATTCTTTTATCTTAGAAAAAAATATTTTGAGTTAGATAAAATTTTTTGTTAGTCTATGCTGCAAGGCTTATTTAAATTGAAAATATTTTTCGATCCCGCGGTGACCATATAAATTGAAACTATAGAAATTGCATAATAACTTGCAACTTGAATTTCACGGTTCTATAGTTAGACTAATTAGGCGAGTGATTAATGTACTATATAGATTTCATTGATATAAAATATATCGAACGTTTAGCAACTCTTGAATGATTGTAAAATATTAATTTTTATCATTAATTAGGATCTGTCGTTCCTTTTTAATTTTATTTTCCAAGTCGAAGATTGTCGTCCCTCTTTGTTTGTGCGATGTGATCCCTTTGCCTTCCTAGGACGTATTCAATGTACCCAAGGTACCCATCGTTATCCAAATCGTCCTCTTTGAACACCCTGTCTACTAATTCTTCATTAAAACATGCAGAAAAAAGTTAATATCAATTATTGGATATATATTATATCCATAAATATTATATATCCTTAAAATTTATAAATAATTTTTTGTATCATTTGCAGCTTAGAATCTTTTTTTTAAATTTACATACCAATAATATCTGGTAGATCATCTTTCAAAATTTGTCTTGTCTCTTCGCTCAAAGTTATCTGTTCAGCTTCAGATAATCTATTTTCATGAAATGTGTGTTGAATAGCATGGAGAATTTCTAGTCCATCCAATTTCGCATTGTTGTCAACATCGTGGACTCTGCAAGTCGTAGGAATTAATCAAATTAATATTAATAGAACATACATTTATTCTAGCATCATTTTTGCAACTTCATGAAATAATAATACTAAAAAGTAAGTTACGTTTCTCGGTGTAAGAACATACTTGAAGTAATGGAATTCTATTTCCTGTTCGGTCATGTTCGAAAAATCCAATTGGTCTGCCACGTCTCCCATGTCCTCCTTCAAATGACTACAATTATACGGTTAGCTACGTTAATTGTCAGTCCAAAAATATAATTCCGAAAATGTGAATTTAAACATACAAATATAAATATGAAAATATATAAAAATTGTCGAACTAACGTTGCGTCCTGCAAGAGGTTCGTATCTTGCGTAATTTTAACGTCCTTTTGCGGAGCGTAGTGATGATGGGAGACGGCGCTGCGGGGATGATGAGGTCCGCGGAGCCCATTAGAAAACCCCATGTACAGCACCATCAAAATTATAGTTATCATTTGTATAACTGAAACAACGAATTTCAAACGGTTTGATAGTTTTCATATTTCGCAAAATGTTTAACATTGTACAATAATATTCTAGGGTGAAACATAAGGCGGCGACGCAGAGGGTGGCAACGACTGACGAATGACACCGCTTGATATTTCTTGCTGTGCCCGGTAACAATAGGACCTGCTGGGACATGTTCATCGACTATGTTGCCGTACCAGTGCCTATTACCACTTCCACGGACTGAACACCCCCTTAGCTAGCGACAGATGGGCGGTGAAGGGAGTCCCAGTAATTATTATGCGATTACCCACAAGCCCATTGATTTAGATTGGACCCGGGGGGCGAAGCACGGCACTGGGCCCGTCTTCGAATTTGCCACGCATCGCTTACCCGCCTTCGCTATACTTCCAAGAATTATTTCCAAGAATTCCGAACGAACTCTCCTCGACGATGCATTCGCAAAAGGGTGAACAAATGTTCCATTACATTTTTTGTCAGCTACAAAATTAGCGATACATCTTCTATCACCGCTGATTTTTCCAGCAGAAGAGGAAAAAAAGAGAAGAGAAGTGCAGCCGGCGTTTGGGTCGGTAGCAACTCGGAATCAGGAAGCCGAGGGTCGACACTGTGAAGTGTGTACAGGGAGCAATCCTAGATAGGTGTTAAAAAACAAAACAGGAGACAGACAGGAATCCGAGGTACTTACGAATCAATTTTCTATAGGCTTACGGTGGTCGAGTGGGGAATGCATATGTTGAGGGTGCCCCGAGGGGCTTTCGGTGCAAGTGGACCCCCCCGGGTGCTGCACGCACCCCCTAGCTCGAACAGAACACCCTCGATTCGCCCCCTTCTTCGCTCTGGTGTCGAAATCTATAAATAATTTATATCATTTGGTCCATTCAACGAGAGAGCCCATATGTACCTGTGTCGCCTTACAGGGGATCTGTGGCCGCTCCAGATTTTTTTTTTTGGGTATGTTGCTCGACCATTTGTATTATAGCAGAGCAGATCTTATTTTTATCGACGTTGTTCTATTCCGTTTAATTCGTCCGAGCGAAGTTTTTATTTAACTTTGCGTTTCGCACGAAAGTTCTAACTACAAATATAAAGCGTGAAGCAGAAGATGTGCAAAAAGTATGAGCTACGTTAAGTACAACAAATGCTTCATTTTAATCTTAGAGAAGCACAGTCGATTTAAATTAGTCTGGAAACTGAAGAAAATCTTTTGTGAGCGCGATTCTACGTTTAAAAAAAACTTTTACATCGCACCGTACTCTAAAGGAAACGTTTCTGCTCCCCCAAAGGGCCTATTCTCCAAAAGAAATTGAATATCTTGAAACCGGACACCGAGTTTGCAAATGCGCTTTTAAATAGCCCGCGTTCTTTGTCTTCGAAAGCTCGCCGCCCGCGACTATCGGAGCGCGATCTGGAGATGGGGTAGGTCCCTCGCACCCTCCCCGAGTTAGGTTAGGTTAACCTAGTGTCGCAGAGCCGCCGGACTCGAGTTCCATCTCGATTTCAGCGAATTTCCAACCCCTTGGAATGATAATGATTAATGGTAATGATTGAGCATAAATTTACCTTGATTTAGAAGTTGAATCAGCCGATGGTTGATACTCGCGGGCCAGCACCGTGGTCCAATTTTCCCCGTTGGTGATTCCGATGGTGTTTTGGACCTAACGGGGAAATCGCGTGCTTATCGACGTTTTTCGGGGAGCTTGCGTATTCGAGGAGTTGCTCAAAGCTCTGATATCTTCTTGAGCGGGTTATGCGGCTTTTGAATTCTCGACGTGGGTAAGAAAGTCCGTTAAGAACTACCCCTTCGCCTTTTCGATTTTGTGAAAATATTTTGTTTGGTCGCTTTTGGCCGAATGGATGAACAGGGAAAGGTAGGGAGGTTTTTTCGAATATATGTATATATAGGACAGTGTTCATGAAACAATGATTGATATGCTGAACCACCCCTTTAATTTTACAGAAACGTTCAATTGGTTGCTTTTAGGCAAATCGATGAATGAGTCTTAGAGAATAAATTTGAGTTTCTGAATTATGGGAATACCATTGATGCAACTTTGGTGAACAAATTATTGCTCATTGTAGAGTCAAGTAAAGTTGATACTGAAGAGAAAAGGATGCCTTTCCTATAATAATTATGGCATAGTAGCACAGCTACTCAGGACTACTGTCAACTTTTCAACTTTTACAAGGCACAACAAATAGGTTGTTTCACATTTCTAGTGTCCAAGATACTTGTCTCAGACTGAGTTACAGTCTTGACACAGCTGGATTATGCCCAGGAGTTTAAAAGTCCAGAACTAAATCCAGGAGTTAGCTCTTGGACTGCAATCTCCTTTGGACTTTCACAAGCAACAAAAATGCGTTGCTTGCCATTTTCAGCAACAATGACACTTGTCCTGGAGTTATGTTCCAGCCCCTACAAGACTAGACTTGGTTTGAGCTAGATCTAGGAGTCCAAAATTCCAGAATTAAAGCCTGGGATAAGCTTTTATTCTACAACAAATGCTCTTCTAACTTTCAGGAGATATTAAAAACGGGTTCCTTCGTACTGCAAGTACATTGTATCTTGGACTCCCTAGGTCCGGTAACCATGATTGATCATGTGCTCTCACAGAAATCGTTCCAGGAACCGCTTAATCCAACATACAGGGCTATGTTTCGCGATTTTGGGTCTGGATTTTTTCTGAATTTAGAGTTAGAAAAACTTGTGTCCACACCTGATGGCAAAGTTTCTGTGATCCAGGTCCAAGGACTTCCACAGTGACCCCGGTTTTCTGGGGCACGTGCCCACGGATATCGGCATTTCGGGGCACGTTAATACCTCGCTATTCAGACGGATAGAGAGAGAACAGAGCGAAACATTCACTCCTGTACATTGTTTGTGGCTTGGAATCAATAAAAGCATAGCTTTAGGCGACGGTAGTCGTCATGGCAACCGGAGACCCATCCGTGTACCTCGCTCCTCTCTCTCTNTTGATTTAGAAGTTGAATCAGCCGATGGTTGATACTCGCGGGCCAGCACCGTGGTCCAATTTTCCCCGTTGGTGATTCCGATGGTGTTTTGGACCTAACGGGGAAATCGCGTGCTTATCGACGTTTTTCGGGGAGCTTGCGTATTCGAGGAGTTGCTCAAAGCTCTGATATCTTCTTGAGCGGGTTATGCGGCTTTTGAATTCTCGACGTGGGTAAGAAAGTCCGTTAAGAACTACCCCTTCGCCTTTTCGATTTTGTGAAAATATTTTGTTTGGTCGCTTTTGGCCGAATGGATGAACAGGGAAAGGTAGGGAGGTTTTTTCGAATATATGTATATATAGGACAGTGTTCATGAAACAATGATTGATATGCTGAACCACCCCTTTAATTTTACAGAAACGTTCAATTGGTTGCTTTTAGGCAAATCGATGAATGAGTCTTAGAGAATAAATTTGAGTTTCTGAATTATGGGAATACCATTGATGCAACTTTGGTGAACAAATTATTGCTCATTGTAGAGTCAAGTAAAGTTGATACTGAAGAGAAAAGGATGCCTTTCCTATAATAATTATGGCATAGTAGCACAGCTACTCAGGACTACTGTCAACTTTTCAACTTTTACAAGGCACAACAAATAGGTTGTTTCACATTTCTAGTGTCCAAGATACTTGTCTCAGACTGAGTTACAGTCTTGACACAGCTGGATTATGCCCAGGAGTTTAAAAGTCCAGAACTAAATCCAGGAGTTAGCTCTTGGACTGCAATCTCCTTTGGACTTTCACAAGCAACAAAAATGCGTTGCTTGCCATTTTCAGCAACAATGACACTTGTCCTGGAGTTATGTTCCAGCCCCTACAAGACTAGACTTGGTTTGAGCTAGATCTAGGAGTCCAAAATTCCAGAATTAAAGCCTGGGATAAGCTTTTATTCTACAACAAATGCTCTTCTAACTTTCAGGAGATATTAAAAACGGGTTCCTTCGTACTGCAAGTACATTGTATCTTGGACTCCCTAGGTCCGGTAACCATGATTGATCATGTGCTCTCACAGAAATCGTTCCAGGAACCGCTTAATCCAACATACAGGGCTATGTTTCGCGATTTTGGGTCTGGATTTTTTCTGAATTTAGAGTTAGAAAAACTTGTGTCCACACCTGATGGCAAAGTTTCTGTGATCCAGGTCCAAGGACTTCCACAGTGACCCCGGTTTTCTGGGGCACGTGCCCACGGATATCGGCATTTCGGGGCACGTTAATACCTCGCTATTCAGACGGATAGAGAGAGAACAGAGCGAAACATTCACTCCTGTACATTGTTTGTGGCTTGGAATCAATAAAAGCATAGCTTTAGGCGACGGTAGTCGTCATGGCAACCGGAGACCCATCCGTGTACCTCGCTCCTCTCTCTCTCTCTCTCTCTCTCTCTCTCTCTCTCTCTCTCTCTCTTCCTCTCCCTCCCCCTCCACGTCCCTCTCAACCCCTGTTTTGCTCTCTGTTCCACCCTTAACCTGGTCTCTCCGTCGGTTTTCCCTCCGAACACACGTACCATTCTCTCTTTCGTTCTCTTTTCCTGTTCCACGAGCATCTCCGCCCCCGCACACACCCTACCCTTCGCTCGCCCCCCTCGCACACACCCCCGTGCACACCCTCTTTCGCTACTTTCACCCCCTTCGCTCTCCTACACCGTTTTCTGTTTTTCTCTTTGACTCTTTGGTCCTTGCACACATGCTGTCCAATTTTCTGTTTTCTTCTCTACACCCATTTTCGTACACTTTTCCCCTCTCCCCTTCGCATGCGCGCCCTCGTCTTCGCACCTCCGTACCGTCTCCGGTCGTTCTCTCTTTTTGCCTTTGTCTATCTCCTTTTTTGCATCGCGTTCTCGTTTTTTTTTTCGGGAACGTGCCCGCGGATACACGTTAATCGTGGACGGCTTTCTTGCGTGTCGCAACCCCCGCGGACTCAGCGGCTCTTCACGAAAACGGGCCCTCGGATTTTCGCGGCGCCGGACACGCCTAATAATCGTCCCCCGTAACCTATCGCCGGCATTTTCGACTTCCGTTTTCCAAATCTGCGGAGCCTGTCGTCGGAAGCAACGTTTCGGTATTAATTTTCGGGTTTGAAAACAATTTAATCAGATTTTTCAACGAAGAATTGAATCTGTTTATTTTTTTATCGTTGTTATGTTTATTTTTTAATTGACACAATCGAGCATGTCAGCTATCCGCATAAGTCAAACCGACCGCGGTTGCTTTTCGCGGGAAATTCGAAATCGAAATTACAGCGATTTATTCTATTCAATGTTATTATAATATATATTATTATAAATTTGATTAAAATTCGGACAAACACGGGTTCTCGATATTTGTTATTTATTTCCGAGCGAAAAATCGAGCTGCGTGGATCGCGGTTAAATTAGGATGTATAGTAATAAGCGTCTAATCAACAGGACTTTCATTGACGCCAGAGATATCGAGGGGATTTCGCGAATTGAAAAACGATCAGGCTGCCGCGACCAAAATGGATTCCCTGGGTGGTAAACCGTTCATCCATAGATCGCGATAGGAGGTCCCGCTCGTTGTAATCGAGTAGAAAACTCAATCGCGATCTAACTTCCGCGTCAGTAGTTCCACTCATTGTTATTGATTCGATTTTGAATAGCCCGGTGCGGATGGAGATAAAAGATTCGCCGGTTCGTTCCGGTTTTTCGGCCTACCGCCAACCGTCCGCAACGTTCTCGCAAATTTTTATTCTCAGCAGCATCTGGGCGTAAGTTAATCTACTGGCCGTGGTCGGGTCCGGTGTGACCCGACCGATCCAATCATCGGCAGAATCGACGGTCATCAAGGATCGGGTTTAGTTCGCAGAAAGGCTTAACCGAAAATTAATCGATATATTCATCGTCGATTGTTATTAAATAGTTATAAAATCGTGGATCTTTTCCGAGAGTTTGTAGAATAGTTTCGTGCAAGTGAACGTTCGCATAGTTCGTTGCAATTAAATCGCAAAATATCGTTAACGTCGAAAATTCGATTTTTCATTACCGCGTTGTTTATCAAATTTATAATGGTTTAAATAATTACTATGCTACGAAAAGAAAATTATTTTTCGACGGAGAAGAGTCTGCCGGATCATTTCCCGCGAGTATCGTCGCGATATCTTGCGCAATTAACTCGCAAGAAATTCTCAAAGTCAAAAATCGCATGTGCCATGATCAAAAAGCTTTCGATGTAATTTACAACTTATTAAACAATCGCAATAATATAAAAAGAAAATATGCACGTACAGGAAAGAGTCCGTAGAATCGTTTGCCACGTGAATAATTCGCGACGAAATACCCGAAAACAGTGGAACTAAAAAATTCGATTTTTCGTTAGCAATAAATAGTTTGATCTCGTTCGTTCGTTTTTTTTTTTTAAGCGAACGTATGTTCCACGTTTAGAATGACTCGGGGAACCGCCACGGCGGAAAAAGGAGTCGGTCGGTGTATTTTCGATAATTATTCAACAGTCGATTTGGCCGGTGGGCGGATGGGTGGCTGCGGGGCGACGGGGGGCGAAAGGTAGTTACCTTTGCAAAGCAAGTGCAGGGGATTCCGAGAGTCGTGTTCAACCATCCGGAAGCTATGAATATATTATTTGACGGCCAGTTTCGGTAGTCTCCGATCGGATGGAGCGTCGATCATGGCTGGCGCATCCCTTTGGGCCATTTTCATGCGTCAAATACGACACACCTCGATCGACCGGCTGCTGTGTCGAACGAAAACAAAAATACTGTTAATCGAGCCGGCATTGGTGCGCGGGACGGGTTTTGATTTCTGGCCGATTTCTGGCCTGATCCACCGATCCGTAATGCATCGGCGCAACCGGCGACAAATAGCCCGGATCAGTGGCTCCGACGAATGCCGTCGACGGAACGAATATTTTCGAAAAAATGGTTTCGAAGACTCGGGGATTTTTATGGCCGGCCTCGGCGCCCGTAAACCGGGAATGACAGTGTAGCTAAGCTTTCAGTCATAGCCAGCGGATTCTGAAATTGAATTCTCTTGAAAACGATACTGCTGCGAGCGAGGCCATTTTGTTCTGGGCTCCGGCAATTTGTTCCCTTTTTTTTTTATTTTTCCATCTGAGGTCAGGCGTTTCGCTGTGTCCCGGCATCGGCGTCGCTGTAATCGCGAACGTAAATGAGAACTGGTCGTTTCCGGATGCTCTTTTCACTCGGAACGATTGTACAGGGTCTTTCGAATACAGTGGCACACCTTTCTGAAACATCGCGGTGGTTCGAACTTGGTTCGAGCAGCTTTTCGATTGGAAATCGAGATTTTGGGTTCGCCAATTTCTTTTTGTGAATTTGGCACGATCGCTTCGAAAGTCTTTCTTATGGGATACGATTCTACAGAGTCCCAGGAACGCAGCGATAATTATTTCGCTATATCGGGACCGTTCGAACGTGTTCGAAATAATTTTCGAAGAGCAGCCGAGAGATCGTGTCTGAAAACACGCAGAATGTTTTATGTTTTTTTATTTCAACATCGTCTCGCGTAATAGATTCCTAAAAACGTCTAGCTTTCGACGGAATTGTTAATCGATTTTATCAAGGGCTCGGCGCAAGTGAAATGCAAAAAGAGCTGCGAAACAGAGCGTGCAACAAAAAATTGATCTATAATACCGAATCATGTACGGGCACGCTGCGCAAAAAAGTTCTCTGGCCGTCCGTCATCTCGTTGCCGCATAATAAATTTATAAAAACGTTCAACTTTTTTCCGACGGTTTCGAGACTGCAATTTTCAAGAAAACAAGCTTGTTTGCTTTATAATTTTATCAAAAGGGATCAATACTCGATTACATCTATTTTTTATCGATTTCCAGGCCGGTGCACCGTCTCTGGCCGCGGAGCTAAATACACGTGGGAGGCCGTTACGGGGGCGGGGGGTCGGCTCCATAAAGCTTTTTCCGCCGGCTCTCCTTCGACTCG